ACCCAGTCCCTGCAATCTCTCCAGCCAGAAGCGGAAAAATGGCTTCTCCCTTCCACCCACCTTCTAAGTTCCCACCAGTGCTTCCCACTGGCAGAACCAACCAGAATGCGGCCTTCAGGCTTTCAGCTCCCTGAAATCCAGGGGAGAGGGTGGGCAAATGGGACTGGATGAGAACCAACAAACTATCTGGCGCAGAAATAAACCCAGTTTAAGAAGCATCCGGGTCAGAGGAGAGAGCTTGAGAAAAATCACAAAATGAAATAGAAAAGAACACAGATTTAAAAATAGTTATAGAGAGGCGCCTGGGTGGCTCAGTCAGTTAAGCGTCTGCCTTCAGCTCAGGTCACGATCCCAGGGTTCTGGGATTGAGCCTCACGTTGGGCTCCCCGCTCAGCAGGGAGTCTGCTTCTCCTTCTCCCTCTGCCCCTAACCCTGCTAGTGTTCTCTCTCTCTTAAATAAATAAATAAAATCTTCTAAAAAAATTTTTTTTAAATAGTTATAGAGAAGGTAACAGCTATGGAAGAACAGGGGATACAATATACCTGTAATTCTACTTTCTGAGGGAGAGAGTAGGACAAAATACAATAGAAAAGATGTTCAGGGCAACTGAAGAGAATGTCCATGAAGTTTAAAAAAAAAAAAAGAAGAAGAAGAAGAATTAAATCTTAGGACCAGAAGAGGATATTGTATTTGCCTTAGTTGTTCAGGCCACTATAACAAGAATGCCATAGACTGGGTGGCTTATAGACAATAGAAATTTATTTCTTAGGGTTCTGGAGCCTGAAAGTCTGAGATCAGGGTGTCAGCAAGGTTGGGTGAGGGCCATCTTCTGGGGTTGCAGACTGCTTGTATCCTCCCCCAGTGGAAGGGGGCAAGCTAGCTCTCTGGGGCCTCTTTTATAACAGCACTAATCTCATTCCTAAGGGGTTCACTGCCGACGGGTGATCCATTCAGCGTTCCTCTGATTCCTACCCTAATACTATCACACTGAACTTTAGGATTCAGCATATGAATCTGAGGGGGACACAAATCTTCAGACTATAGCAGTACCACAGGAAATTTTGATATTAAAACAATCAACACTGGAACTAGGTCTTGGTGAAGTTACTGAATCTCAAGTATAAAGAAAGAATCTGACAGGTCTCCAGGCTGAACAAAAGCAATTCAAGTGCTGGGAGAAATCACTCAGGCTGGCCTCAGACACCTCCTCTCACGACTGCTAGACAACAATGGAGCAATGTCTGCGAATCTCTGAGGTAAAGAGGCTGAAACACAAGAGTCTGAATCCCAGCCAGGGATCCTGCGGGCTCCAGACAACAGACTTGGCAGGTGCAAGCATGTCAGACATCAGGGAGTACAGCATCCATGTGCCCTTCTGGGTTTTTTTTAAGATTTACTTATGAGAGAGAGAGGGAGAGAGCAGGAGGGACAAGGGGAAGGGAGAGGAAGAGAGAGAATCTCAAGCAGACTCCCCACTGAGCGCAGAGCCCAATGTGGGGCTCGAACTCAAGACCCTGAGATCACGTCCTGAGCCGAAACCAAGAGTCGGATTCTTAACCTACTGCACCACCCAGGCACTCCCATGTCCTCTTGAAAAAACTACTTGAGACTTTCAGTGATGTCATCTATATGGCAGAATAGGTATCCTGAATCCTTCTTCAGTTGACACCTAAGCATGCTGCAGAAAACATGTTAACACACCTGCAGAACTTCATGGCTGGGCTTACCCGAAATGAAATCGTCTGTGGCCAGTTTAGCAGAATGAGAGTCCAAACCTTCTGAGTGCCCTGCACAGTTCTTTTCCACCTCTGCCATGCGAGTTTCCCCACAAATGTCCTTTTCCCTTCCTGTGCTCTCCAGGTTCCCATCGCAGACTGTGGAAGGCCTGGGCCTCCTCGAAGCCCCAGCCCAAATGCCACCAGCTCCGCCAGGCTTTCCCAGACCTACCCAGCCCTGCAGGATTGCCCTCCCCTCTGTCCTCCCTGAGCAGTGAGTCTTTATCTCAGCTCTCCCCCATCATACTCGCTTTGAATTATGGTCATTGCAATGGATCCCTCGTCCCCCTGTGAGGTTAAGCGGGACCTTGTCCATCTGTGCATTACTCAGCACCCAGTAAAGAATCAGTGCTCAATGAATGTCTGAAGCATTAAACTGAAGAGAATTGACTTGGAAGGCTTGGGGTCTATTTTAACATTCTGAAAACTCCTCCCCAGTTCTAGCTACTATTGTTCACTGAAAACCAGGACTTTCTGTGCATTTATAGGCATGAATCGGGGGGACCATCTGAAGAGTGATTCAGAGGAGCATGGGCTTATCCGCTGTCTCCTTTTATGGAATTGGGGCTTAGGAAGGACAGGGCTCAGCTGGGCTTCAGCCCCACTGTTTGCCCAGCTCCTCACTCTCAGTGTACCCGCACAAACCCACGCCTGCGTTGCTTTGGCAGGATGAAGAATTTTTATTCAGTGTCCCTACTGTCCTGCCTTCCCTCCATCTCCCACTCCCTGAAAAGGGGGCCCAGGAGGCAGTTGTGGAACGACTTATAATAATAATAGTCAGCACGTCCATGGTATTTTCTCCAAGGCAGGCACAGTTCTGAGTGTTTTACTCACAAATCCTCTAGGCAACAGGCACGACTAGCATCCTATTTTATAGTTCAAGAGACCAAGGCAGCTGAGCCACAGTCACAAAGCTAGCGCGGAGCAGAGCCAGGATTCCGCTGCAAGTTAGAGATGGGCTTTGAATCTTAGCTTGTTACTTACTGGTTCTAAGACCTTCCACAAATGCAGCTCTGAGCCTTGATTTCCCATCTATAAAATGGGGGTAATAGTCTCCTCTTTGCGATACATAAAGATTAGATGACTTAATATATCTGAACATGGGTGCCTGGTGGATGATTAATGATAAGTTTTTTTAAAAGAATAAAATAGTAACATTAATAGTGTTAACATTGTAGCAACAAAGGCTGAGCCAAGGAGAATGTGTTTTCATGTTAGAAAAATGTCTCCCGGGGCGCCTGGGTGGCTCAGTCGTTAAGCGTCTGCCTTCGGCTCAGGTCATGGTCCCAGGGTCATGGGATCCAGCCCCGCATCAGGCTCCTTGCTCCGCAGAAAGCCTGCTTCTCCCTCTCCCACTCCCCCTGCTTGTGTTCTCTCTCTGTCAAATAAATAAAATCTTTAAAAAAAAAAAAAGAAAAGAAAAATGTCTCCCAAGTCTATTCTTTTCTGTCATGTTATGAAGGTAGTTTGATTCCAATGTGAAACATTCTTTAGCAGTTCCCAAGACAAAGGGACACTTGATATGTAACCCACGGAGAATGAATGTTCTTCCCACCAAATGAGACGCTTCCAAGCATATGGTAATTTTGCTGATCAGATTACACTGGGCTATAATGCAAGATAAAATAGGGTGACACAAATTGGAAAAGAAAATGTAAAGATCACACCAAAGCCATCTCAAATAGCCTGAGATAGTTTAATCATTCTGTATTAGCTTGCTGCATCTTAAAACATTTTCTTTCAAATCAAGTCACAGCTGTGTGTGCTTTAGGCTGTGGCTGTCATAGACAAATATGAAAAGAAGCAGAGTTAAAACAGATGAATACCAATGGTTATCCATTAGTCTGATGTAACCTAACACAAATGACCATTAGGAGACTTGCAAAGAAATCAGAGAAACAATTTCAAAGGCGAGCTTCTGCATAAATGAACGACAGCTTTCTATTCCTCATCTCCGCTCTCTAAACAACCGGCATTCTCCCCATGCTTGGGTCTAAAAGCCAGTTTAGTGTCTTAGATCATCAAGTCCATAAATGGCAAATTGGGGAACATGAATTTGCCTACCATAAGGACCGCCATATCTGAACACTTGGTATCAGAGTGGCTGGAGAGAGATACCACACCTCAGCAGGAGGCCCCGGAGTGGGGCCTCTCTCACGTGGGGATGTCATGAGATGAATGTGGTCTCCACTAGTGGGGGCAGCGTCGAGTTGTATGGTCTTTAACATTCAGCTTACTTGCTGCTTTTTTTTCTGATTACAATTGTTTGGTTAGAGCAGACCAATCTGAGCTAGTGGTTCAGTAGGGGACAGGAGTCCAGAGGTAACCACCAACCTGGGCTGGGAGGAGAGCCAAGACTGGAGGAGCCCTCCTGTTGATCACCTAGAACTGGGGAATCTTTCCAGACTACCTGTGGAGCTTTTCCAGAACAGCACGAACTTCCTCTGGATGGTAGTTCCAAGGGCCAGATTTACCCTGCAAGAGACATGAATCAGCATTCCCAGATTTCCAGCCTGCAGGAATAGGTAGGTCTGGAGCTGGGTTGAGAGCACAGGGCTAGTGATAGTTACGTGGGACTTGCCAGAATGGTGTCGTCAATGGCAGAGGCAACCGTAAGGTGGACGAGATCACCCAGGGAGAGGGTGTGGAATGGCACCAACCTGTAATGGGCAGACCGGACCGAGAAGTACGAGGAAAACCAGAGGCGGTAAAGTGAATAGTTTCAAAAGGAGAAAGGGGTCTATACAAATAAGCTGCTCTTCCATAATTAGACCTGCAGACAGGCCTTATCTTCTCTACCCCTCACAGCAAGTTCCAGCCATTCTAAATCAGACCCACCTCTGCCTCTCCAGTCCCAATGCCTTAGTTCAGCCCTCTTCATCTCCTACTTGGGCAGCTGTCCCACCTCCTGACTATCCCCAGTCCTCAGTCCCTGCTCCCTCCAGTCCACGCCTCACCCAGGAGCCATTGATTTTTCTAAAATACAGATCCAAGGGCTCCTGGGGGCCTCAGTCAGTTGAGCTTATGACTCTTGATTTCAGCTCAGGTCATGATCTCGGGGTCCTCGGATCAATCCCCACATGGGGCTCCACACTCAGCAGGGAGTCTGCTTGGAATTCTCTCTGTCCACCCCTCCCCCCCACTCACATGCACGCACGCTCACATATGCACACGTGCCCCCCACTCACATGCACGCACGCTCACATATGCACACGTGCCCCCCACTCACATGCACGCACGCGCTCTCTCTAATAAATAAATACATTTAAAAATAAAATAAAATAAAATACAGATCCGATCATGCCTCTCTCCTGCTCAAAACTTGTCAATGGCTCTCCTTTGTCCTAAGAGGTAGGCTGAACTCCTTGGTCCAGAATGAGACCCCTGTCACCTAAATGCCCCCAATTCTCCATTCACACGCAGCTGTAACGTGCCTCAGTGCCTTTGCCCACCTTCTTCCCTATATTTGCAATGCTTTTCACTCACCCTGCTCACGTGGCTGGCTTCCTAGCCTTTAGGCCCACACAATTGTCACCACCTCTAAAGAGCCTACCCTTCCTCAGGGGTCAGGAAATTTATCATCTGAGAGCCAAGTCTGTCCTGATGCGTCACACTCATTTACCTCTTGTCTGTGCTGATATTGTGCTGTAACAGCAGGATTGAATTGTTGTGACCAGGAATTTATTTGGCCCACAAAGTCGAAAATATTTACAAACAGGCCCTTTGCAGAAAAGATTTGCTAATCCCCGCTCCAGAGTTTCATAGTACTTGGGACACTGGGCAACTGTGTGTGTGTCTTCCTTATCCCTCAGACTCCAAGTAAGGGGTGAGCCATTTTCAATTCATTCCTGTGTTGCACGGGGCCTAACCCTGCCAACCTCCATCATGCCATCTTAGAGCCACGTCTCTGCGGAGGAGAAAGGAAGAAGGACCTGAATCCTTGTGCTGTGACCCCTGGCACCTCGGGGATTCATCTGCAAGTCGTTGCTCATTTCACTGCAGAAGTAGGGCCAGCTTGACCTGTGGTCAGAGGAGCAGCCTCGTGGTTGGGCTTCCTGGGCTCTCCAAGGTTTGGAATCCCTTCGGCAGCTATAAAACGGTTTCTGCCCTCTTAGGGGAGGCCAACAGTGCCCAAGTGACCAGAGGCTGTGCTTTCATCTCCCACCCTGGCCAGGCTGGAAGCCCTAAGCGGGGCACAATCACCGGAAAGCAAGCCGGGACTCAACTCCTGCCTTGAATCCCTGCTTCAGCATCTCCAGCTGCCCATGTAGGGTTTGTTCTGCTCCCACTCCGACAACCCGCTCCAGGTTCAGGCCTGCCTCAGACCCTCCCACTCCTGGCCCACCCCGTCCAAAGGATTTAGAATTGGAATCAGAGCCTTGTGCAGTGTGACCTTGGGCAAGTCAATGTCCTTCTCTGAGCGTTGTTTATGAAATGGAGACAAGCTTCTCTCATTCAGCTCCAAACTGAACTAGGGCTGGGCCAGTCTTCTGGGTTCAGAAGGCAACAAGAGGCTGCAGCTCCAGTCCAAACTCTAGGGACTTTCCTGTGCATTATTTTACCCCCCGTGAAGTGGGGGGGCCGCACCTCCCTTTTGCTGAAGAGGAAACTGAAACTCCACGCGAGGAGAGGACTTGCCCCTGGTCACATGGCTGGTAAATGGCTGGGTGGCGACGGGAAGGCAGATCTGCCTGCTACAAAGCCCTTTCTGCCCGTACCCTTCCTGGGCCCTGTGCCCCTGGTCACCTTGTAGAGGATCCTGCCCTCCTGGAGCACATAGAGCCTCTCAGGCAGTGCCGCATAGCGCTGGCTGCTTTGGTTCTCCATCGTGTCCACCACCACAGGGCACTGGGGGCTCCTGTCCAGCAGCAAGCGGGCGGCCTGCAGGCGGTCCTGGAGATTCCTGTGAGTCCTGATGTTCACGTTGTTCTTAAAAGCCCAGCCATCTGCAAAAGAAGAGATGGGCAGTGGGCCTCACAGGCAGGGCACGTATTTCCTGCAGCTTAAATACCCCCATCCCCACCCCCTTTAACTGAGGGTCCCAGATAGAGAAGCCCTTGGCCAGATTGGGCCCAGTTTCCTATTATGGGTGAATGCACGGGATCACATAGAGAGTTACTGACTGATCCAGAATGGGAGCCCAGGGCTCCTGACTCCCAGACCTTGGCTCTTCAGCATGGGAGAGTCCCCTGGGCCAGTGCTTCTCGAACTTGAATGTGTATTTGAGCCACACGGGGACCTTGTTAAAGGCAGATCCTGATTCAGTCTGTCTAGGGTAGCACTGAGGGTCTAGCTGCTGCCCAGGAAGCCAAGGCTGCTTGGTGCCTGGACCACACTCTGCGAGGCAAGGGTCTAGAGCAGTAGTTCTCTGCCCGGACCAGCAGTGTTGGCGTCACCTGGGGGTGTGTTGGTAATTCTTAGGCCCCACCCTAGACTGCCAAGGGATGGGGCCCACCAATCTTTTAACAGCCTTCCAGATGATTCTAACAACACACCGAAAGTTTGAGAACTACTATTCTAGCGTCTAGACAATCTCCCTCTTCTAATTATTCTCCACCAGAATGTTCTTTCCAAAGTGCACATCTGACCATGTGACTCTCCTGCTTAGGTCTTTAGATGGCTCCCTATCATCCTCAGGAGAAATCCCAAGCTCCTCAGTGACCTGGCCTGTCTGTGCCATGTTCCTCCAGCCTCTGTCCCAGCCGGGTGGGTGAAACACCTGGGATTCCTTGACCTACAACCCCCAAGCTGCTTCTCACTCCCACCCTCTTCCTCACGGGGCTGCCTTCACCCATAGTGTGAGCACAGGACTTTCTCTCTCCTACGACTTCAGCCACTGCCGCTGACGTTAGCTCTACGGACAGCCTCACGACAGGTGAGTTCATAGCCAAGTACAACTGCTAGCCTGACAACCACCCTTGCTTTCCACCCCTAAGAAGTATTCCCACCTCCTGATCTTGCTACCCTCTAACTCATCATCCAAAAATCTCTGACAATGATTACTAACACAAACTTTGATCAGATTTTTTCTCTGCTTGAAAACCGATGACAGGACCAGCTCCTTAGCAAACATGTAGTGATCCCTGCCATCTCTCCTGACCTTCACTTCTAGTCATGGCTGCCGGTCCTTCCACATCTCGCTGAAGTGACTCCTCCTCAAATGATGCTGCCCCCCCTTCCCTATGTCCTTACCGTCTTTTCCATATTGGAGACCCCACCTGTCCTTTTAAGCTTCAGCTCCAACACAGGGCTTCTCAACGTTGGTACTGTTGACGTTTTGTGGTGGGCGTGTCATCCTGTGTGTTACAGGATGTTGAGCAGCATCTTTGGCTTCTACTCACTAGATGTCAGTAGCACCAGCACCCCACCCTCCCTTCAATTTGTTTTTGACAACCAGAAACTTCTCCAGGTGTTGCCAGAGGTCCCTTGGGGGACAAAAATCAGCCTCATTGAGAACCACAGCTCTAGCGCCCTCTCCTCCAGGAAGCCTTCCCTGACATTCTCAGTTGTGTGTTATTGGGCAAGCTCTTGAAATCTCTTTAAAGTCTCAGCTTCCTCATCTGCTAAGGGGTTAATAGGACCAACGTTGCAGATGCCGGTGACATAACTTATACAGAATTCCCGGGACTCTGCCTGGTTCACAGAAGCTGCTTCAAAAATACCGGTTTATTTTGCCTGACTCCCCCAGATACCAGCCAGGTAGGAAAGAACCTGGTTTTTATTCTTTACCACAGGTATCCTGCTACTTTGCTCTGGAGATGCCCCAAGCCAAACCCACCTAAGGCTGCTTAACGTTAAACGGAAGGGGATTTTCAAATGGCCTCATTGGCCAAGGTGCCCTTCTATTACTTACAGGAAGTGGTACTCATGTTAATGGGCTGAAAAAAAATAACCATAAAGTGCTACTGGCCTTGCCCTTCTACTTGCCCCATTTCTGGGGAGTCTGGGCCCAGCTAATGTGGTCTTCGGCTCCCTCGGAAGCCATGTGATCTGTGTTTACAGTAATAGCTGCCTCGCAGGGTAATAGAAGTTGGTTAAGTCTACCAGCAGAAATGACTCCACCTCCTCAATGCTTCAAAGTCCCCTGCTCAGGAACCTTCCTCCAAGAGAAACCAGCTCTTGGGAGAAATTCACACCAAGTGCCTGGCCACAGGGTAAAGTAACTATTACCTGCCCCAAGACATCAGAACTTTGTAGATGACAGTAAGACCAGCTTACCTTTGTATCATGTTTAGGCAGTCAGTCTTGTGCAACCATTAGCTCCTTGGAGCTTCACAACGACCTCCTAGGGGCGGCCAAGCTGGGATTCTCCCCCTCATCCTGCAACTGAGGACACGAAGGCCCGGAGAGGAGCAGTGACTCACTTCCCCAGCTTTAACTGTGAGTCCCTGCGAGGCGGGAACTGTGTGTATCTTTGGTCTCAATATCCCTCGGCCCAGCCCAGGGCGGGCACAGAGCAGGTACTCGTGAAATATTGTCGAATGAGTGACTCTGTGGGGGTGGTGTTGTCATCCTATTTCACTGTCCCAAAAGTGGGCATGGAAGGTAAGTTGCCCAAGGTCACATGGTGGAGCCAGGACCCATACTCATGTCTGAAACTCCGAAGTCCATGTCCTTCCCACCACGCCTCGAGTGCCTCCCCATAATTTACCTAGACAGACATGTGGCATGTGGGAACCTGATTTGGGCCCCAGGCCCCAGACCTTGTGGGATTGGTGGACACTGGCTCTGTGCATTTGAATTCTGCCGGGTTCAGCTTTTTGTCTGATTGACAGAAACAAGTACCCTGAGGAACGAGGTTGTTGGGGGGGGGGAGAAAAAACGCCCGAACCAGGATTGGCAAAGCACAGAGGCAAGAAACTGGTCTGTGTCAGAACAGGGTCAGGAGGTCTTTCCTCATTGGCTTGATAGTCAGCCCTGGGTCGAGGAAAGTTTCATCCTGGGCTGACTCCAGGAGAAATGAGTCAGGAGACAGGTATCAGGACCAGAAACAATGTCTGTGAAGATCCACCCCCTCTCATTGCAGTTTACGGCTCGTTCCTTTGGAGATTAGAGCTGGATCTCGTGACTCCAAGTGCAGACCCTGGGCCGGCAGGCTTAGCATCACCTGGGGAGCCGCCCTGCTGAGCCCCGGCCTGCTGAGGCCCCCCCCAGGTCATTTAAGCACACGTTAGAGTTGGAGAAGGGCTGGCCGCTGCGACGACATCCAGGCATGGTCTCTTCTCGGCCCTGATGACCACAGACCCCTGAAGGTGCCCACATTCTTTCTGTAACTCATGGCTGCTATTCTCCCAAAGGGGCGTCTGCCCCAGAGATGGGCTGTGCTCGCATCTGCGCTGTTACCTGTGCTATTTTTGATTGTATTGTGGAAAAATGTTAAAGTACATGAAAGTAGAGAGCACAGTATCATGCACCTCTGTGTAGCTAGGACGCTAAGCTAATATTTCAGGTGGCTCCCAGAGTCTTCATGAGGACAGAAGCTGCCAGTTAAGTGAACACTGTATTAAGTTGAAAGAAGGTCTCAAACCTTTGGGTGCAATAAATCAGGACGCAATGGGCCTGGGGTGGGGCCCTGGAATATGCGTTTTTAACAAGCCACCCAGGTGGCTCTGACGTCAGGGATCCAGGGAGCATATACTGGACCAACTTTGCTGATAGTGAATAGCAGCCTACACTTAACAACACACGGATAAACCGGCAAGGCTAATATAATACTGGCCTAAACCCACTCATCCAACTTTTGCTGAGCTCTGATTCTGGGACACGGGCTCTGCCAGGTGCTGGGAGACAGACGAACCTTGTGGGAGATGGGCAAGTAAGTGACACTTGTCTCACTCGGCCACACGTGACTTCCTGCCTTCTTCAGTCTTTGGGTTTGAGAGTTGGGCCACTCTCATGGATTCAATCCCCTTGAAAATTGGGGAGAGAGGGGTGTGTCTGACCATTTTGTAAAGTTCAAGGGGCTTAGACCACAAGCTGTAGGAGTTTCAGGGAGAGCTCTCCCGAATAGAGCTGTCCCGCAAAGGAACAAGATTTCCCGCGAAGTAATTAAAATGTGTGACCGCCTGTCAGGGGTGAAGAAAGAATGCCTGCCTCCCCCACCCCATGAAAGCTAGTCTGGGGCAGGGGATCTCCAAGTGTAGTCCCCAGACCAGCAGCTTCAGCATCACCCAGAGCTTGTCAGAAATGTGAATTCTCAGGCCCCATTCCAGATCTAACTGATGAACTCTGGGGTGGGGGTGGGGGGTCCAGCAGTCTGTTTTAACAAGCCTTCCAGGTACTTCTGATGCTCATTAAAGCTTGGGAACCATCGACTGAGATGAACCACAGTGTGACCTTTGAGCTTGGAGAGTCTTAGGAGGGATCTCACATGTAGTTACAGAGCGGTCATTTCACTTGTGACGTTTCAGGTCTAAATTCCTCCTATTAGCTTCTCTCCCTTGATTTCCCTATTTATCCATTCAAAATGTTGGGTGCTTGGCCAGCTGGACCTGTCCCTCCAGGTTTTTTTTTCCCCCCAAGATTTTTATTTATTTGAGAGAGAGAAGGAGCAAGGGGAGGGAGGCAGAGGGAGAAGCGGACTTCCCGCTGAGCAGGGAGCCCTATGATGACATGGGGCTCGATCCCAGGATCCTGAGATCATGACCTGAGCCAACGTCAGACGCTTAACCGACTGAGCCACCCAGGTGCCCCCTCCGGGTGTTTTGCTCTGTGTGCCAGGTTGAAAGCACAGACTGTAGAGTTAGCAAGTGGTGGGTAAAGGCAGCAGGGGCTGAAAGATGGCAGGTACTCACTCAGTGAATAGCGGCTCTTTCCCTCATTCCTCTTCCTCCCTCCTCCCCAACCTTGAGCTGGGGCTTGGGGGGAGGAAGGAGAAGGTAGGAAGAGGCAGGGGCAGGAAGTCTCTCTGTACCTGATGCGTGTGCTTCTTCGATGTAAATGATGAGGAAGTCTGCTGTGGAGCAAAAGTCTTCAGTAAGTCTCTTGAATTGGTCAAATTTGAAAAGAAATGAAGGTCAGGTACAACTTCCAAAATTCAGCACCAGTGGCCTGTTGCCTGAAACAGGAATGGAATCATCAACGACCAATCCTCTACACACAGCATTGAGTTGTCAGCACCATTTTGCTCCAGATGCTCTCACTTCTATTACTTTTATTTTCCCTCAAAGATGGAGCCAGGCCATGGAGGGGGGGCAGGCAGGGCTGAAGCCTACAGAGCATGACTTAGCAGAGGCTGGAGCCAGTTTGCTCCTCTCCACAAGGAGGGGATTTTATCGGGGTGGGTGGGGGGTGCTCAGTGGACCACCTGCTACCACTAAGTGGTAATTAAAATGGGAGTCCCTCTGAGGCAATTTATAAGGCAGGCACAGATCTGTCTTCTCATGTGATGAGATTAGTATACTGCAAGGTAGGCAGTTTTTCTCCTTGTTTACAGGCTTGCTCCGGGTCACACAACAGGTCAAGGGTGGAGTTAAAATTAATACCCTGACTTCTAGACTCTCAATTTGGAGCTCTTCTCATTCAAAGCACCTGTTTCCTCATTCACAAATGGATATAATAATACTACTTACCTTATAGGATTGTTTTGAGGATTACAGGTAGTACAGATAAGGGCTTAAAAAGGTGCTTGGCCCGTAGTAGATCCTCAATGAATGTAAGCTGCTGTCAGCAGCTATCTCATATCTGAGCTAGGAAGTGGGACAGGCAGTGAAGGGGATGCCACAAAGGGGAGTGAAGGGTAGGGGCAAGACCGGCTACATAATTTGCTGGCTCAGTGCAAACTGAAAATGCTGGGCCCCTTGTTCACAAAGTCAGGGGGAAGTGCCACTAAATATATGAAAATAAAAAGATTTGCTTCTGTGGTCTCTCTCTTGCACTCACATTTTCTAGGTACTATTTAATGTCTCACTCTCATGGACATAGGGATATTCATAGGGCAAATGCGGCCCGTCACAGTCACCCAGGAACCCCAAAACTCAGTGTGTACGTGCCTGCGTGACTGTGGCCACCGGCTACCAGCTTTCCTCTACTTCCAGCCAGCAGACCAACACACGATGCCCCAGAGAGGGCATGGTGAGAAACAGCTAGACATTTACCCTCCCACCATGCCCACCACCCACCCCACAGGGTTTCACAACCGCCATTCAGAGATGCTAGGCTCCTTGGTGGGGGTTGGGAGACAGGCAAGAGGCTTCTCCCACCACTTTGCCCCAGTCATCTGACACTGCCCCCTGGCGCTGTCAGGCCAGGATGGGGACAGCCGCCCCCAGGCCCTGCCACGAGATGCGGCAGGAGGCACACACCTGACCCCAGCCTCTCTGTGCCTGTGTCCAGGCCCTCTCTGGGGTCAGAAGGTGGTGGCAGTCACTGGGGAGGAGTGGGAAGGAGGTTGGACGAGCCCTGAGTCTGAGGGTAGAAGAGTGAGTCGTGGAGGACATGTCCCAGGGAGCAAGAAGGCTGTGGGAGGCCAGGTCCTGCACAAGCCAAGGCTCCAAGTCCCTTGGCAGGTTCCACTATCCCATCAGGCTTCCCTTATAAAATGCAAATGCCAAGATAAAATGATTAAGGATTTCAAGACAGCTAATGCAGAACATTAAACTCCAAGCACAGGGCCTTTCCCTGTGTGATTCACTGGTCCCACACCCATGAAAAACCAGCCCTGGGTGGGAGCCTTCTGCAACGTCCCCACCTTTGACGGGGAGTGGCCTTCGGGAGCTGCCAGCGCCCGGGGGCTTCCCTGTGGCCGGAGTGGACATGGTTGAGGCCTCACCTCACATCTGGTAGCACAGAAGGTCGTGCCCTGTGACGTGGCCCGTTTTATCCCCCAGGCTACTTGTCACCCCTCGAGGGAAGAGCCTGTTCCTCATTCGCCCTCATGTCCCCCAGCACACTCACATTCCACCTACAAGCATTTACGCAGCACTTAACAGTGTGCGAGGCTTGCTGCCACACACTGCGGGGTGGGGGCGGGTGCTCAGCAGAGAACAAGGCCAGCCGGGCTCTTCCCACATGCAATTTGAGGTCTGTTCCAGGGCAAAAAACAAGTAAACACATAAATGTGGTAATTTCAACTTGTGTTAAGTGTTACGAAAGAGCCTATAAAGGAGTGACCTACTTTAGACAGGTGGGTCAGGAAAGGTCTCTGAGGCCATGCCGTTTAACCTGAGAAATGAAGGATAGCAAAGAGCCAGCCATGGGCAAAGGGAGGAGGAGGGCATTCTCCAGACAAAAGGACTCTAACCTGTACAAAGACCCTGAGGCAGGATGAGCTTGGCGTGTTCAAGGACCTGCAAGGCCACTACGACCAGAGCCAGGCCTGGGGAGGGGGTGCGGGGTGGGGGAGGGGGGGTCGGGAGAGGTAGGACTGGAGAGGCAGGTATGGGCCAGGGGAGGCAGGCTCTCCTATGCCTTGGTGAAAAATCTAGATTTTATTCTAGATACAATGGGACATCATGGAGATATAAAGCAAGGATGGTGGATATTTGTTGCAATTTTGGCTGCCCAGTTCCTAACCATCCTCCCTAGTTGGAATTCCCTATTTTGTATGCTATTAATGGGAGAGTACGCCTCTATGGAGGAAGAGGGGCCAGGTCTGTTCTTTGTCCCGAGCAGCCAAGGCATAAGCAGTGGCCCAGTCTGGGCTGATTGGACCATCCCATAGAGATCCTGGAGTCACTGAGACAGCAGAATTCATCCATGGTCCAGGGGCAGCGCTCCTGTCAGGGATGGTGGGGTCCTGGGGGGGAGGGGGTCAGTTCCCAAGGCAACCACAGTGACAGCAGCATCCAGGCCTGACTTTTAAGGCTAAAAGACAGTCCAGGCCCAGTGCTCCAGCTGTGGTTGATCCTGGGGATCTTGCAACACATTCTTAGTGCATTCTTTTGTATATGTGCGTGTGTGACTAAGAAAACCAGAGTGCGTTTCTGTGGCTTGCAAGCCAGAACCAACTCGTATGATAGAGGTATATAATGAAACATGGTCAGATTTACACCTGAAGATCACACTACGGAGAAAGGCCTGAGGATGGGAACAGAAGTGGGGAGGATCCAGCCAGGGGTCCTCAGAGCAATGCACGTGAGAGAGAATGGGAGCCCGGGTAGGTGAAAGAGGAAACTGACAGGACTTGCTGATGCTGTATTTCCTTAGTTATACCCTCACCTCATTGTGCAATAGGTTTGAAGCAGCCTATACATATAGTCAAAAAAATTTTTTTAATGAAAAAAAAATCATGCCCTCTGGGAGGCACAGAACAGGAGGGAAAGATGGAAAACAAATAAAGTGGTCTTGAGGTCCCATGCATTCATCATAACTGAACTTATATTTGACTGAGTTTCCTGGTGGCCAAGTAAAGAGAGAAACAATTGACTATAATAGAGTCTTCATTTTTCAGTACATGAGAACGCTGGCCAGGAGATAAAAAGCTCTCCTTGTCCTTGGCTCACAGATTAATCTCTTAGGAGGCACTAGGGGGCACTGAGTGGGCCTCAGTCCCTGTTGGATGATTACACTACTCCTCGCCCATGTGACAAGGCTGCCCAGGCCTCCTCAGGGTAGGCTCAGAGGCAAGTCAAGGCCAAGTGCCCAGCCACTGGCCTCCAATGACCCCAGAGAGTCACGCTTTAGATAAGAACCCCAAAGACTTAACGTCAGGACCAGTGCTAAATATTAGCTATCTGGAATTTTGCTTTTAATTGAAAAAAAAAATCAACACTCACTGATTAGGAAACTGGAAAAGACAGAGCCATGTGTTTAATTATTTATAGTGTGGTTGGGTGCAGTGATCAGTATGGAGGGCAAAGTTTAAACTTAGTTCCCCGCTTTCCTGATAGCAGAGAGGAAGGATGGGTGCAAGGGGTTGACGGGACAGAGGACTGGCACTCTGCCTGTGTGCACAAGCCATGGGGCAGAGAACACCATTTCAGACATCGGGCTAGTGCTGTCAAGTCCATCTTGTCTGTAGAAATGGGGAGAGAGCTCTGTAGTAGCTGGACTTGAACCCCCCATCATGACCTCCAGGCCAGTAAATTCAGGCCTGTGCCAGGCTCTCTCAGCAGAGAAAGCCCATTTATCATTGCTAGATGACACCTCCTGGGTACACTTGGGGAGATTTTAGAAGATCATAAACAGGGACTGAAATAAATCCAGTTTCCTATTAACTCCCAAGTACCTAGAAAATAAATGATCCAGACTTGCCTTCTACCACAACATACCAGTTAAACACCAGTGTTTTGCTCTGCGTGTGTGTCTGGGAGTGTGTGTATGTCATGTGTGTTCACATGTGTGAACACGCAGAGGATAGAAGGTGGCTGGGAATTCCACTGAGCCTCTGTTGTCTTATCCAGTAACAAGAAGTCCACTAGCTGAGAGTCAGAAGCCACAAGTTCTAGTTCAGGCTCTACAAGAACTCGCCATACGACTGACTCTGAGCAAGTAATTTACCTCTCTGGGCCTCTGCATGTGAAAAACGAAAGAACTGCATTAGATTATCCATAGAGTCTTCTAGACCTTCTAGACCTTCTGGTCTGTGGCTGTAAAATCAGATTTATACTCAAAGCATACGTCAGAGCTTTTTAGTGGCTGATGGGTTTCCAAAGCAGTTAGAGGATCTCTTTCTATTAAGCAGAACTGATCATTGTTAACACCCTACTTGAAAATCCTTCTAGAATTCACCAATACCCTCAGGATGAAGTCTACCCTCTTCAGTAAGACACAGAAGATCCCTTAAACGCCGGTCTCTGATGACGTGTCCAGCCTCATTCTTCACCAGCTTCATGCCCCCCCCAGCCCCAATTCTGCCAAAACTCACCCACGCTCCTCCACATCTCAGCCCTCTGTGTTTCCTCTCCTCTGTCCTGCTCTGCTCCCCGCTCCCCTCTTTCCCACCCATCCCAAGGCTTCACTGTCCCTAGACAATCAGCTCACCATCCTCTTCTCCAAGAAGCCTTCCTCTGACCGCCTCCCTACCCCATCCCACTTCTTCCAGAACCCTCTGGTTCCCTCTCTCACTACACCATCTCCCCCTCCAGGCTATGAGATTTTCCGGGGCAGAGACCAGTCATGTTGATGTCTGTACCGCCAGTATCTATTATTTCAGGACCATTCAGTACCATTATTTCTGGGTCAATAAGCCAAAAGCCAACTCTGTTTTACAGGTAGAATTTTGTCTCTTGGTCTCCCTCTCTTTCTATTCTTCAGTCTGAGGAGCAATAGCAGGGAGCAGAGACAAATAGCACAGTCTTTAAAACGTAAACCGGTCCACTAAAAGTGAACAGTTAAGAGAAGCAAGTACATTCTGTGAACTGCCCTGAGGCAAGTTGGCTTTCATGGAACTGGTCACTAGATCGGTATTTGGCAAGCTGGCCTGGTTCTAGCACAGTGCTTGGCACATAGTAGACGCTCAATAAAAGTTAGCGGTTATTCTCATTGCTCTTGTTATCATGGTCACTTAGTGGATGTTGAATAAAAGGAGGCCATTTGTGTCCTGCAGTTGTAAAGTCATGAGCAGAAAACTCTTGCCCTTCCCTCTGCTTGAAACACTTTTCCCTTCCCAAGCTACAAAAATCTTTCTCATTTCTCAAGGCCTCATTCCAAAACCACCTCCTCCAGGAAACCTTCCAAGCCCTGCAGGCAGACTTCATACCTTTACGGCCTCCCCTGTCTCACAGAACTGTGAGCATTTGTTTATGACATCTGTTTGTTCGATGAAACCCTAAACTCCTCGAGTGAAGGAGCAAGCTCTTACCTAACTCTGAGTTCCTGGCATCTAGCTGGGAGCCGGGCACAGAGGAGGTGCTCAGGAATGTTTGCTGAGGTGCACTGGAAAGAACGAGATGAGGAAGTCCAATTCTGGGTCTGACTTGGTCACTCACTGGCTCTGTTCTCTGCCTCTCAGTGTTCTCCATCTCCCTTCTAAAGTGAGAGGGTTGGATTAGGCCAACGTTTCCCAAAAGGTGTTCTTTGGAACCTGGGTGATGATGACGGGCATTTCCTCAGGTAGAGAGTTAGGGGTTGTGTGTTAGGAAAATCAGTCAGTGTTTTGTCAGTTTTTTCAAGTTTTGCTTGTTTTTAAGCTTCAAGGCTTCTCAGAGCTTTTTAAATACTCGTGTGCTCTCTGAATTTCCAAGAGGAGGGTATGGTGTACATGGTTTCCCAAGCTATTTCAACCAGGAAACTCAATGTGGTAAAGCGTATCTGTGGGATGTGGCTTCCAAAGAACATGCTTTGAAAAACACTAGATTAGCCAACTTGCCTCAGGGACCTTCTCTACTCTATCTGCTGGGTCTAGGTGCTGGGAATTCAGAGGTGAATCAGACACAGTTCTGTCACGAGGCTCCCCATCGGGCGGGAAGAAAACACTTGTGCTTGGCAGCCAGATGCTGGGTGGGAAGAATCAGAGTCTGAGGAGAGGGGCAGATGCAGAGCCATGAGCCCAGGAGAGAGAGCATGCGCCTAGCTGTAGGGATCTGAGACGGCCTCACGGAAGGGGGGCGGGAGAGCAGGCCTTGTGGATGAGGGGTTTTGGACTGTGGGTGATAGAGGGGAAGAGCCAACAACATCAGCAAGGTAGAGAAGGGAGAGCACAAGGGACGTGCCAGGCTCAAGAGTTCATTTGGAGGCTAGAGCTGAGGGGAAGCCTGTAGATGAGACCGGCAAGGGAGGCGGGAGTTGGCCCAGGGAGGACCTTGAGCACGAGGCTGGGCCTGGGCTTCATCCACGGGCTCCAGCTGCATAGAGCATGCAGGCCAGTGAGGGCAGCAGACATTAACCAAACACCCCCACATGTAACTACCTACCAGGTCAGGCGCGATAAAGAAAAGTTGAGGACGTTAAGCCTGAACGAGGGGCTAACTGAAGAGTGTGTAGAAGGAGCTGAAGGCCGGTATGGCTGGCTTGCAGGGTTAAGGACCTGGGAAGGTGGTGATGCTGCTCAGAAGAACAGAATCTAGAAGTCCCAGTTTCAGGAAGTAAGAAGAGGACAAGAAACCAAAAAAGGAGCAGCTAGAGTAGAAGAATTCAGGACTTTCCCACCCACCTCCCCACCCACCTCTGCACCCCCATTCCAAGCACATCTCAAGCTCGTAACCGTCTCCTGACCTTGCATGAAGTCCCAAATGTGGCACCTTTGTCCTGAGAGCCGGACCACAGGGCAGTTGGGGGCCAGGCCCCCGGGCTCAGTCCTGTCCTCTAGTCGCTGCCATCGGACCTTCAGGACAAACCAGAAATACTGCATGCTGTAGAAGGTCGGGGCCCAGTTGTCATAGGAAAAGTGGGGGTTCTTCTCGTTCATGGCCAAGATGTGTTGCTTGACTCTCTCGGGAAACAGTATCAGGAACACTTTGCCCACGGCCACCTGCACGGCCACCTGCAAGAGGACCCAGAGCCTCTTCAGCCACAGCCCTGGCCTGGGCAGCCCCATCTCGGCACAACCAGAGCCGGCTCTGAGGCTGGTGGGCAGAGAGGCTACAGCTAGGCGGTACTGGGCGGAGCTGAACAAAGGTGCAGGGTGGACGAAGCCAACCCGGGACAGCAGGAAGGTGCCAGGACAGAAGGTGTCTGCCTTCCTGTCAATGCAATGGAAAATTCCAAACCAAGTGCTCAAAGGTCTGTTGTAATTATTATCATTTCTGATCCTTTGCCTTAACCTTTGAGAGATCCTTGGGTTGGGAGACTGCAGATCTTAAATCTGCCCTCTGATAAATTTTTAAAAACAATTATGTAAAAAGATCACACTTAAAGGGACTCTGTGGTCCTTTAGAAAGGCTCTATTGCAAATAAGTTCTAATAGTAATGATTCTTTTAATAATGAAATTGTTCCTTTACGAATGAAAGATGTTTTTCCCACTCACAGCTTCTAGCTGGTGGTTGAGTGTTTCTGGAGGCATGGTCCGACCCAGAGGATTTGGGTCTGGAAGCTCCCCAAGCAGAGACAGAGCTGGGCCATCCCCAAGAAAATCTGGGCCTGAGACTCCCAGTAGTGTGTGTGCGCGTGTGTGTGTGTGTGTGATACCTACAACACTCTGCACTCAGCAGTGTGGCAGTCTAGTGTGGGGAAGAGACAAATAAACAGAAAGTTATCATTTAGTATATTAAGCACAGAAATAGAGGATGAGTCGGGGTCTGCTAGCATGGAGAAGGGCACTCAAATCTGTGTAGAGGGGTCAGAGGACTTCCCCCAGAGTGATACCTATGCTGAGACCAGAAAGGCAGAACAGCAAAGAGTCAGCCAGGCAAGTGGGGACGGCGGTCCTAGTGGAAGGAACCACATGTCCAGAAGCTTAGAAGCCAGAAAAAGCACGGGCCCCTGGAGAAATTAAAAGAAGATTAATAGAAGCTCAGAGCTGGAAAGTGTTTTAGAAAACATCTAAAATGTCTTTCCTTTCAAGCAGGGAAACTGAAGCCCAGAGAGGGGAAGTGGCTGAAGGCCAGTTCTGCAGTTAACTCATCTCTCAGGAATTAGTTCATGAAGCTTCAAGTTTACCCCTCCCTGACACATTTGCATACCTGTGTGTTAGGGCAGAGGGAAGCAACACATGAAAGCTGGCTGCCACAGTCATAAAGGTGTTAACCTTGGCCTCTAGCACACTAACTTTATTCAGAGAAGAAAAAAACAGCTCCAAAAGATGTTCTGTTTCTAAGGATCTCCCTGTAAATGCCAAGCTGTGCCCCCATGTACAGCACCTGCCTATTTAAGCAGTAATAACCCCTCATGTGTACATAGCATTTTGCCATACAAAGTATTTTTGTTGTTTGTTTGTTTGTTTTAAATAGACTGTATTTTTTCAAGCAGTTTTAGATTTACAGCCAAATTAAGCCAAAAGTACAGGGAGTCCCCAAATACCCCCCGTCTCCATACACGCACAGCCTCCCCTACTATCCATATTCCATCCGGGTGGTGCATGTGTTACAGCTGATGAGCCTGTGTTAACGAATCATTATCCCAGAGTCCATAGATGACATTAGACTTCACTCTTGGTATTGTACAATCTTTGGGTTTTGACAAATCTATAATGATAAGTATCTACCATTATGGTATCATAAAGAAATTTTTGAGGCACTAAAATCCTCTGTGCTCCTCCAATTCATCCCTACCTCTCCCCAAACCCCTGACACCATTAATCTTTTTAGTGTGTCCATAGTTTTACCTTTTCCAGAATGTCGTATAGTTGGAGTCATATAGAAGGGGGCTTTTCAGTTTGACATCTCTCACTTAGTAATATGCATTTAAGAGACCCCCATTTCTTTTCAGGACTTGATAACTCATTTTTGTTTTAGCATTGGATAATACTCCATTGTCTGGATGTACCACAGTTTATCTATTCACCTACAGAAGGACAATTTGGTTCCTTCCAAGTTTTGGCAATTATGAATAAAGCTGCTATTATAGACTGAATGTTTGTGTCCCCTCTCCCACCCCAAATCCATGTGTTGAAACCAAATCCCCAAAGTGATGGCATTTGGTTTTTCGTGACGCCTTGTGAGGTGATTAGGTAATTAGGATGGAACCCTAATGAATGGGTTAGAGCACCTTCACCCCTTCCTCCATGTGAGGACACAACAAAGTTCCTGTCTAGAACCAAGAAGTGAGCCCTCACTAGATATCAAATCCGCTGGTGCCTTGATCTGGTACTTCGTAGCCTCCCAAACTGTGAGAAATAAATTTCTGTTGTCTGTGATCCACCCAGTATGGTATTCTGTTATAGCAGCATGAATGAATTTAGACAGCTGCCATAAACAACTGTGTGCAAGTGTTTGTGTGGACATAAGTTTTCAACCCATTTGGGTAAATACCAAGGAGCACAATGGCTGGATCTTATGGTAAAAGTATGGTTAGTTTTGAAAGAAATTGCTAAACTGTCTTCTAAAGTGGATGCACCATTTTACATTCCCACCAGCAATGAATGAGAATTACTGTTGTTCCATGTCCTCACCAGCATTTGGTGTTTGTGTTCTGAATTTTGGCCTCTCTAACAGATATGTAATAGTATCTCACTCCTGTTTTAATTTGCAATTCCCTAATGACATATGATATTGAGCATCTTTTTATATACTTATTTGCCATCCATATATCTTCTTTGCTGAGGTGTCTGTTCCAATCTTTCGCTCATTTTAAAATCAGTTTGTTCATTTTTTTCTATTGTTAAGTTTTAAGACTTCTTTGTTTTAGATAATAGCCCTTCATCACCTATGCCTTTTGTGAATATTTTCTCCTAGTCTGTGGTTTGTCTTCTAGTCTCTTGACAATATCTTTTGCAGAGCTTTTTAATTTTAATGAAGTTCAGCCTATCAATTCTTCCTTTCACAGGTTTTGCCTTTGGTGTTGTATCTAAAAAGTCATTGCCAAGGGGCGCCTGGGTGGCTCAGTTGTTCGGCGTCTGCCTTTGGCTCAGGTCATGATCCCAGGGTCCTGGGATTGAGCCCCACATCGGGCTCCCTGCTCCGCGGGAGGCCTGCTTCTCCCTCTTCCACTCCCCCTGCTTGTGTTCCCTCTCTCATTGTGTCTCTCTCTGTCAAATAAATAAATAAAATCTTAAAAAAATAAAAATAAAAAATAAAAAGTCATTGCCAAACCCAAAGTCATCTAGGTTTTCTCCTATGTTATATTGTAGGAGTTTTATAGTTTTGTGTTTTACACCTAGGTCTAAGTTTCATTTTGAATTAATTTCTGTGACATGTGTAAGGTTTGTGCCTAGGTTCATTTTTTTTTACATGTGGATGTCCAGTTGCTACAGCACCATTTTTTGAAGACTGTCTTTTCTCCTTCGTACTGTCTTTGTTCCTTTCTCAAAGATCAGTTGATTATATTTCTGTGGGCCTATTTCTGGGTACTGTTTTCTGTTCCATTGATTTATTTGTCTATTCTCCTGTCAATATCACACTGTCTTGATTACTGTATCTTTATAGTAAGTCTTGAAGTCAAGTAGTGTCAGTCCTCCAACTTTGTTCTTATTTTTCAATAGTGTGTTTGCTATTCTGGGTCTTTAGTCTCTCCATATAAACTTTGGAATCAGTTTGTTGATAGCCACAAAATAACTTGCTCAGATTTGCATTGGAATTGTGTTGAATCTATAGATTAAGTTGGGAAAAACCGATGTCTTGACAATATTGAGTCTTCCTGTTCATGAACATGGAATATCTCTCCATTTTTAAAAAGTTCTTCCTTTCCTTGCATAGATTTTTTACATATTTTGTTAGATTTATACCTAAGTATTTCATTTTGGGGTGTGCTAATGTAAATGGTATTATGACTTTAATCTCAGATTCTAATTGTTCATTGCTGTTATATAGAAAAGCAATTGGGGCGCCTGGGTGGCTAAGTTGTTAAGCGTCTGCCTTCAGCTCAGGTCATGATCCCAGGGTCCTGGGATCAAGCCCCGCATCAGGCTCCCTGCTTGGCGGGAAGCTTGCTTCTGCCTCTCCCATTCCCCCTTCCATATTTTAGTTATTGTGAATAATGCTGCTATGAACATGTGTGTACAAATACTTCTCTAAGATCCTAATTTCAATTCTTTTGGGTATATACCCAGAGGCGGATATGCTGAATCATATGGTAATTCCATTTTTTAATTTCTTTAGGAACTGTTTTCCATAGAGGCTTCATCATTTTACATTCCTACCACCAGTGCACAAGGGTTTCAATTTCTCCACATCCTTGGCAACACTAGTTATTTTCTGTTTTTTGTTTTGTTTTTAAAGTAGTCATCCCAATGGGTATGAGATGGTACACACATTAACATTTAAAAAATTTTTTTAAAGATTTTATTTATTTATTTGACAGAGAGAAAGATAGTGAGAGCAGGAACACAAGCAGGGGGAGTGGGAGAGGGAGAAGCAGGCTTCCCGCAGAGCAGGGAGCCCGATGTGGAGCTCTATCCCAGGACCCCGGGATCATGACCTGAGCTGAAGGCAGATGCTTAACAGCTGAGCCACCCAGGTGCCCCAACATTTAAAATTTTAATAGTTATATATTTATTTCAATTTGTATTACATATAAAAATCACACCAAGGGGCGCCTGGGTGGCTCAGTTGGTTAAGCGACTGCCTTCGGCTCAGGTCATGATCCCGGGGTCCTGGGATCGAGTCCCACATCAGGCTCCCTGCTCGGTGGGAGGCCTGCTTCTCCCTCTCCCACTCCCCCTGCTTGTGTTCCTGCTCTCGCTGTCTCTGTCTCTGTCAAATAAATAAATAAAATCTTTAAAAAAAAAATCACACCAAAACTATGATTTCATCGATATTATCACTTAGGATAAGACCGAAGTAGATAGTATAGTGATGAGCTATGTCTTCAGAAAAGAGTTCACATAGCAGACCTGAGACTACTATCCTTAAAAAGTCCTGCTTGTAAGGTTGGTCCTTTACTAGTGCCTGGGAACTTGGGATTTTAGAAGGGTTCTCACCACTGATAATTGTGGTTCTCTGTGCATAAACTGTTTATGAAAACAGTGTGAACACCTGATGCTGAACACCTGTTTTCCTTCTGGGAATCTCGAATTTAGGTATGTGCTAGCC